TTTGACTCGAGTGTGCCCCCTACATTATTCCAATAGTAATATCTCAGTGATACATCATCCGATCTGAACGGAATTTTTTGTGCTTCATCAGTGAACACCTACAGACACATTGGTATTGTTGATTCATGACATGACTTAAGGCCCACCCACTCAGAGAATAAACTGTCAATTATTGGGTGACTCTTCCAGCTTGGCCCTGTGTAATTTATACAACTTAAACTGTAACTGTTGATTACCACACGACATGTGGAAAAGCATATATGAAGTGCTCGTCAAACATTCGCAACAAAACAGGAAGTCACAATAACTCCTGTCTGGAAGGTCGGATTTCACGTATACTTGTAAGACCTGGAGCTGGACTAGTACTGAAATGGACAGAAGGCGATGTCAAACATTCAGGAAATGCACAACGTGGTGATTGTGTGTGGGATTGGCATGACAGCGTTCGCGATGGTGACTGGGTGGAGGGGCTGAACCTCCTGCGGTCGCGGCATGGCCGGAGCGGTGCTTTGCTGAGAGGGCCTTAAATGGCATTCACACGTGCATTTTTGCAGGAAATGCAAATTCTCTAGTTTCTAATTTCTTTAGCTACTATTCAGCATGCTTTAAGCTAATTGTGTGAATGCCTATTAGGCATTCACACTATAGTGATTCACTTTTTCTTCCGTACGTTTTTCGGCATCTAACTACTCCCACAGTTTTTGTGCTATTTCAACAAATCATACATCATAACATTCAGCTATTTCAGGACATGTCTTCTATGACCTTTGGTATTGGTGCAACTTTAGCTTTTTGAGATATTTAGCCTTTTCTGGCATATTTGATCTCATTGAAAATGAATGGAGCTCATTTTACATCCTTCATAACTTTTGAATTATTTATAACCTGGTACTACTACTTTCACATTTAGACCTGGTTAAGGTTCATTCAGCTTCCTTTCTCAAAATTTTAAACAAAATTCAGCTAGTTCAGCTAATTTCAGCTGTTTTTTTTAACTGTTTTGTGGTCCTTTCAGCTTCATTCTGCTAAAAATCAACATTTTTGTGCTTTTTCAAACTTATTTATGCTAATTTATGCTTGTTCTGCTCCTTTAAGCTTATTTCTGGATGTTTCAGCTATTTCAGCTAGCATTTAGCTGTTTTCATGCAAATTTAATCTTTATCAGCTAATTCCACATTTTTTTTGCAATCATTTAAACTTTTGTCAGCCTAATTCAGCAAAAACGTGTTCCTCTGACATCCTACTAGTAACTGAAGCTTCTTTCTGCTTGTTTTAGCTACTATTTAGCTGTTTTTAGCTAATTCCAGCTTTTCGCAAATAATTTCAACTTTATTGTGCTAATTTTTGCCTGTTTCAGCCTTAGTCAGCACACTTAAGCTTCCTCCACTTCCTTTTGGAAATTTAAGCTTCTTTCTGCATTTCTTTAGCTACAATTCAGCTGTTTTATAGAGAAACTATGATAACTCTGCCATTTTTATAGCTACTCAGATGAAACTTGGCATATTGGTAGATGATAACGATCCCTAATAGATGTTGAATGAAAATCAACAAATTCAGCTAATTTCAGCTGTTATGTGCTTTTTTCCAGCTTTATTCAGCTTACTTCAACATTTTTGTACATCTTCTAACTTATTTCTGCTAATTTCAGCTTGTTATGCTCCTTTCAGCTAATTTGGCTATTTCAGTTACTATTTAGCTGTTTTATGCTAATTTCAGCTTTTTCAGCTAATTCCACATTTTTTTAAAAATCAATCTAACTTTTTTCAGCCTAATTAAGCAAAACCATGCTCTACCCACTTCCTTCTGTTAATTTAAGCTTCTTTCTGCTTGTTTTAGCTACTATTCAGCTGTATTTGTCCAATTTCAGCTTTTTTCAACTTTTTGCGCTCATTTTTTTTTTCAGCCTAATTAGGAAACGTGTTGCTCTTTCTGCTTCCTTCTGCTAATTTAAGCTTTTTTATGCTTCTTTAGCTACTATTCAGCAGTTTTAAGATAATTATTGAGCAAAAGGCATTCACACGTGCATTTTCGCAGGAAATGCAATTTCTCTAGTTGCAGCTGTATTTCAGCACATTCCTTAGCAATAAGCATTCACACATGCATTTTCATAGGAAATGCAATTTCTCTAGTTGTGTGAATGCCTGTAAAGGCATTCACACCATTGTTTTCCAAAAAGTTGCTATCATTATTCCGAACGTTTTTTGGAAACTATCTACTCCCACAGGTTTAGTGCTATATGAACAGTTCATATATCAAAACGTTCAGTTATTTCAGGACAATATGGCTATGACTTTGATTATTGATGCAACTTTAGCTTTTGGAGATATTTAGCCTTTTCTGCCATTTTGGCTCTCATTGAAAATGAATGGAGCTCTCTATAAACAGACCAAGAGCACCATCTGGCAGTTTTCAAAATACCCTACGCAATAACCTTAGTTTGTCTTAGAAGCATGACACTTGGTAGACTTGTCCAATTTCCCAAGATGGAGAATGCTGAAGGGGCGGGGCCAGACCTCAAAGTTTGACATCTCGCCATGAAAAACGATACGCTTCTTAACTCCTACAAGAAAACTGAGACATCAAACCTTCAGTGATTGATCCACATCCGGTCCCCTGCAAGACAGAACGGTCAAATCATGACATCACTTAAGCCACACCCCCTGACAACAGGAAGTATAAAGTTTTACGTTGAACGATCCCTATCTAACCCGTTACCTGATCAGCATGCTAGTGTATCCAGTGACCGAAGACGTGGTGCTGTAACTTGCTTTCCAACACTGACAGTTTTGGTTGGAGCATGTGGGAGGCGCGGCGTGGCGAAGTAACACGTAATGCCGTCGCCATATGTTTGGCTCCAAATTCCACAGTTTGGAACCGAGGTGCACCAACATCAGTATGATCAATTATTATCCACCCCTTGAACAGGAAGCCATAATAAGTGGCCAATAGCCTCCATAGCACTCCCTAGAATATTTTAAAACCCCAGCCCCAAGCCTTTTTTTGACCAATAATTCTGAAACTCGATGTACAGCTGTATCTTCTCAGGACCTATGAAAATGTCTCTTGGAGCCCTAGCCAAAACCAACAGGAAGTCGTCCATTTTGGGTCAAAGGGTCATTTTTAGGCATTTCTAATTGCAAATTTTAACAAACTCCTCCTAGAAATTTTGAAGGATTGCCTTCAAACTTGGTTGATATGCCTTTAAGACATTGGCGAGTACACGTTATCTAAAACTTGCGTTTTGGTATATGATAAAGGGGTGTGGCCAGGTCTCAAACTGTCGCTTCACGCGATAAAGTTCAAAACACTATAACTTTCACATTGAAAGACCGAAATGCACGAAACTTGGCATGACTCATCCCTGTTGGATGCCCCACCATCCACTGTGTCATATTTTGACGTCATTAAAGCCCTGCCCCCTCAAAACAGGAAGTCTCTTTTTAACTTGGAATGCTCCCTTTTGGACAACATTGACCTAATCAGGATGATCCTGTGTTAGAAGACAGATAATATGGTCTGACTTGATTTAAAGCGCAAACTGTTTTTGCTGGAGGATGTGGGCGTGGCGAATTAAGAAGTGACGCCATTGCAATATGTTTAGCTCTAAATTGCAGATTTCAACCGAGGTGCACCAAAATCACTATGATCGATCACTATCCACCCCTTGAACAGGTATCCATGATAAGTGGCCAATAGCCTCCACAGTGCCACCTACATTATTCCTACAGTTATAGCTCAGTGATACAACATCCGATCTGCACCAGATTTATTGTGCGTCATCAGTGAGGACTTTTAGACACATTGATCTCAAGTGCGCCTCCTACATTATTTCAAGTTATATCTCAGTGATACATCATCCAATCTGAACCTGAGCTTTTGTGCTTCATAAGTGAGCACTTGTAGACACATGGGTATTGTTGATTCATGACATCACTTAAGCCCCACCTACTCAGAGAAAAAACTGTCAATTATTGGATGACACTTCCAGCTTCGTACTGTGTAAGATATTAGACTGAAACTTTGTTCGCTAACTGTTGATTACCACACGACATGTTGAAAAGCATAAAGGAAGTGCTTGTCAAACATTCGCAAGGAAGTGCTTGTCAAACATTCGCAACAACACAGGAAGACACCATATCTCCTGTCTGGAAGGTCAGATTTCATCTATACTTGTAAGACCTGCAGCTGGACAAGTAACGACATGGACGGAAGGCGATGTCGAAGATTCAGGAAATGCGCTCCGTGGTGAACGCATGCGGGATTGGCACAAGAGCATTCATGATGGCGACTGGGTGGACTAGCTGGAGCTCCCGCGGTTGCCGTAAGGCCGGAGCGGCGCTTTGCTGCGAGGGCCTCCAATGCTGCTTGCAGTACTATTGTTTTATTGGTATTTTACTGCAAAATTTATCATACTTTTATTTTTATTAAACTCAATTTTATTTTGTTTATCATATTTTACCATATTTTATCTACGATGTATTCTTGTGAAGCACTTTGGTCAGCTATGATTTTTTTAAATGTGCCATATAAATAAACTTTGAATTGAATTGAGTCATTCCTTCCCACTGTGGCCTGTGTACAGTAGTCCCTCGTTTATCGCGGGGAGTTGGCCTGATTATTGAACTGCATCAGGAGCTGCTCAGGTGAACAGCACCATTTGTTTGGGTTTTGATCTGATGACTAAAACACGTTTGTAGACGTAACGTTTAAAATCAAGCTGTCAAGCATCAGAATGGCCACGATGACTAGGGGTTTGAGTCAACTCTCCAAAGTGAGGCCCCCAGAAGACTTCCTCCTCAAAAGCCTGAAGGTGTGTTTGTACAGCTTCTTGTTCAGGTGTGTGAATCTGATTCTGTCAGACTTACTGCCCCATCAGTAGTACTAGATGTTCCTCTGGACTGTACCCTGCTGGTTTTACTTTAGTCACCATCACTCACTTTGTAAAACCTATACAAGCTTCAGCAGCTTCAGATGGGTGTCAGGTGGCTCTGGTGAATTACCTCATCTGCCAGCCGAAGCAGCATGCGCAGGAACCGACCCAGGTGTCCCTGTCGGGCTGACAGCTCCCCTCGGCCCGAGTAATCTGTTCTGTACAGAGCTGTGGCGCTGTCCACTATCAGCAGAGCATACCTGCAGGAGGGAGGGGAACACTTCCTGAAAAATTTGCTCCCACGTGTTCAACCAAAACCAGGTCACATAGGTTGTTCAATGAGTTCAGTGTAGGTCAGAGCATCCCTGATGCATCCTTACATTTCTATGCTGATGATACAGTCGTTTATTGTCGAGCTAGAACAGTTATTAAAGTTTTCCAGATTTTGAAATCCGCTTTCGACATCATCCAGTCAGATTTGTTTTGTCTCAAACTGGTGCTAAATCCAGACAAAACCTAAGGGATGTTGTTCTCAAACAGGGTCAGACCCAGCAGTTATTCACTCAATTTTATCTTCAAATGGTGCTCCTATTGAGTTGATTCTTATAAATACCTGGGTATCTGGGTCCATGCACATCTCTCTTTTAAGCTTCATGTTGAAAACTTGATAGAGAAACTGAAAGTTATTTAACAAAGTCCATGCTCAATAATCCAGGTATACAATCCAACATCTTTCTGTCAGGTCATCTGGAAAGTTTCTTTTTTTTGTGCTGAAACGTTTAGCCTTCGATCCGGAAGGCTTCATCAGTCAAGGAAACACAAAACTGATTCTTCCCCCAACAGCTTACTCCAAAGTGGAACAAACCAGTTATGTTGGTGCTAAGATGGTGTCTTGGCACACCCCCTCCTCAGTTGCTGGCCCTCTTCTTCGTCGACAGTCATGTCAGACTGGTTCAAACCAAAAAAAGTCCATGCTCAATAATCCAGGTATACAATCCAACATTTTTCAGTCAGGTCATCTGGACAGTTTCTTTTTCTTGTGAAACGTTTCGCCTTCGATCCGGAAGGATGAAAGTTATTGTTTTTTTTTCAGAAATAGATCCTGTCTAACTGAATGCTAGAAAACACCTTGTAACCGTGACTTTACTTCCCTCCATTGACTACAGTGACATTATCTATATGAACGTTCCTACAAGCACCCTGCAGATGTTGGATGCTGTCTATCATTCATTCATTCATTCATTCAACCTTTATTTAGACAGGTAAATCCCACTGAGCCTCGAGGACTCATTTACAAGAGAGACCTGATTTCAACAAAGAATGATGACAACAATGGACAACAGCGACAACAATAAACAGTTATAAAAAGTCACACTTTTTTTTTTTTTTTAACAAATAGGATGGCTAAAAAAAAATAAAAGTAAAAAGAAAAGAAAAGTAACAGAAAACAGCTCGATTCTAAGGCGAATGTAGAAAACTAAAAAGAGGAACATGTCTGCATTGGTCCCTGCCAGGAGTCCAACAGATTCTTAAAGTCACTTAGAGAGGTCAAGGTCGAGAGCTTCAGATCTTTTTGTAAGATATTCCAAGAAACAGGAGCAGAGTAGGAGAAGGCCCTTTTGCCTAGTTCAGTTCGCACTGAGGGAACACTGCAGGTAATAATGTCCTGAGAGCGCATGCTGTAGCTGCACTCACGCAGAGACATGAAGGAGGAGATGTATGAAGGCAGCAGACCAAAATGCGATTTAAAGATGAAAATGTACCAGTGAGAGAGTCTGCGTGACGTTAATGATGTCCAGTTAACCAGTGAATACAGAGTGCAGTGGTGGTACGATAATCACAGCCAGTTATGAATCTTAGTGCACCATGATAGACAGCATCCAACATCTGCAGGGTTCTTGTAGGAGCGTTCATGTAAATAATGTCACCGTAATCAATGGAGGGAAGGAAGGTCACAGATACAAGGTGTTTCCTAACATTCAGAGTTAGACAGGATCGGTTTCTGAAAAAGAAACCCAGTTTAATATCCTGATGCATGCTCAATAATCCAGGTAGAAAAATCCAAAAAAGTTCAATCTGGTCCTCTGGACATTCAGAAAAACAAAAAACAAAATATTTTTTTGCTTTGTTTTGTTTTTCTGAATGTCCAGAGAACCAGATTGAACTTTTTTAAACCCAGTTTAACTTTTAGTTTCTTTACCAAGTTTTCCACATGGAGCTTAAAAGAGAGATGCAAGTCGACCAAGATACCCAAATATTTATAGGAATCAACAAACACCATTTGAGGATGAGATCAGAGGAAGAACTGCTGGGACCAACTTCCTATTTTAAAAAAGCATCCCTTTGGTTTTGTCGGCATTTAGGGCAAGTTTGAGGCGGAACAAATCTGTCTGGATGATGTTGAATGAAGATTTCAAAAGCTGGAAAGCCTTATCAACTGTTTGAGATCAACAATAAACAACTGTGTCCTCAGCATAAAAATGTATGGATGCATTAGGCACGTTTTTACCTACATTATGTATGTAGATTGTAAAGAGGGTGGGTTTTAAGACTGAGCCTTGTGGTACACCATTGTTGACTGTTAAATAACTGGAGGAAGTACCATTATGTTGAACACATTGCCTCTGGTCTGAGAGATAGAGAACCAACCAATGGTGTGTTCTGAGAAACCAATTTCTGAGAGTTTATGACACAAGATGTTATGATCCACAGTGTCAAAAGCTTTAGACAGGTCTAAGAAAAGTGTGGCACAATAATCCTTAGCATCCAGTGCTTCAACAATGTCATTAAGAACCTTCAGTGAAGCAGTGGTTGTGCTGTGTTGTTTCCTGAGACCAGATTGATGGGGAAGTAAGATGTTAAATGAGTCCAGGTAATTTTTGATTTGAGAGTTTATTCGTTTTTCTAGAACCTTGGCTAAAATGCAGAGTTTAGAGAGTGGTCAATAGTTGTTCAGTGAGGTGGGGTCACCTCCCTTCAGCAAAGGAAGAACAAAGGCTGTTTTCCAAGCATCTGGAATGGAGTTTTGGCTTATGGAGAGATTGAAGATGTGGGTCACAGGGACTGTGATGATATGAGCAGCCAGCCTTAAAAAATAAGGTGGAAGTTCATGAGGACCTGCAGATTTTTTAGGGTCAAGATCTTTTAACAGTTTATTGACCTCACTGACTGAGAATGGAGAAAAAGAGAAGGTGTGATTAACTGAGGATTGACTTGCAGGAGGGATTTGATTTGTAGAAGTTTGATTATTAAGTGAAGTGGCTGATTTTCCATTAGTAACTGTGTCAAATAAAGAACTAGAAGCAACAAAATGTTTGTTGAAACAGTTCAGGATCTCGTGCTTATTTGACACAGGAACAGAATTAATGAGAAGTTGTCATGGTTGTGCACTAAGATTCATAACTGGCTGTGATTATCGTACTCACCACTGCACCCTGTATTCACTGGTTCACTGGACATCATTAACTTCATGCAGACTCTCCCACTGTACATTTTCATCTTTAAATAACTTCTTGGTCTGTTGCCTTCATACATCTCCTCCTACATGTCTCCGTGTGAGTGCAGCTACAGCATGCGCTCTCAGGACATTATTACCTGCTGTGTCCCCTCAGTGAGAACTGAAGCTATCCTCACACGACTGTCTTCAGGAAGGACAATGAAATATCTGTGTACCAGTTGTAAGTGTAATCTTTATTCTGCATAAAAATCGGTGTTTCCATGTAAAATAATCTGTTATTTTAATTCATCTTTCAGTTTCACCGTTTCAGATGAATGTCATCCTCAGGTGGAGGAGTTCAGGTGTCTGGGCATCTTGTTCATGGGTGATGGCAGGATGGAGCGGGAGATGGATCTACAGATTGGAGCCTCATCCTCAGTAATGAGGGTGTTGCTTTGGTCTGTTTTGGTGAAGGTAGAGCTGGGTTAAAAGGCAAAGCTCTGGTTTTACTGGTCTGTCTACATTCCAGCCATCACCTGTGGTCATGAGGTCTGGATCAGGACTGAAAGAACCAGATATCAGATACAAGTGGACGAAATGGGCTTTCTTTGTAGGGTGGGGGGCCTCAGCCTTAGAGATAAGGTGAGGAGCTCTGTCATGTGGGGGGAGCTCAGAGTAGAGCAGCTGCTCCTCCTCATCTAAAGGAGTCAATGGAGGTGATTCATCTGATTAGGACGCCTCCCTTTAGAGGTCTTCCAGGCACATCTTTCTGGCAAGAGGATCTCCGGGAGGGATGGTGTTTCTTCTCTGGCCTGGGAATGCCTCGAGCCCCCCAGAATGAGCTGGAATGTGTTGCTGCTGAGTTTCTCTCCTGGACCTGCTGCCTCTGTGCTCCAATGATAAATAAGCAGTAGAAGATGGATAAAGATCATAAGCTGCCTTCTGACATTTGATCTCAGCTGCAGAGACCCCACGCAGACAATGTGTTGAGAAATGTGTTATGATTAGTGTAATGGAGTCAAATCATGAGGTGCCGAACACTCACCCCTCATTTTTACAGGATAAAAAGCAGAGTGGAGAGCGTTGTCATGCACAAAACACGTCTTCACAGCAGCTTCTGCCCGCCAGTGAAAAACTAAAGAAGTATTTGTGAAGAAACAGTTGTGCGCCACATTTGTTTGTATAGATTTCCAGTTGTGTTATAAGGTTGGATTTAAGTGTTTAAACTTTCTTTCTTACACCGACTGACTCAAGTGCTTTACATGTGCTCAGCCTGGGTATACATGCACAAACGGTCAATAAAGTTTCTTGAAAAGGAGCTGAAGCTGAACGCCTCACAGCCCCCACAAATGCCCAGGAGTATCATTCCTCTTGTTCCTCTGATGTCTGAGCACATCAATGAGTTTTTCTGACGGTAGCTGTGAAGTGTCCAGACGACATAGCACGAGTGTTGGGACTGACCTGGACTCGGCCATCATGGCAGAAGCTTGGTAGAGCAGCTGAGTCTGATGGTCGGTGTTGAAGGCACGGGCGTAGGCTACGTTGTCTAAAACATCACTCCCTACCAGCCCATACCTGAGCGAGGAAGGAAGAACAATATATCTACAGTCAACTTTAAAGGTGAAATACAAAAAAAACGTCTGATTTTCCGACACAGCACGTCACCTCTCAGCCACAGCGAGGAGCCTCTCTGGTCTGAAGGTCCCCTCAGTGTCGATGTACATGGCCTTTCCCTCTCCTCCCCCCTGATCAATAGGCAGCTGCAGTCGAAGCACAGACACCTTCAGGTCACCTGCAGATCCTCCTCCATCAGTACTAACTCAGGAGAGCCTACCTGACAGGTAACAGCCAGAGTGTGGCACAGCTGAGTCTTCCCCGTCCGAAACTCTCCGAACATCTCTGTGATGGAGCCCGTCTCAATCCCACCTGCACAGGAGCACAGTTTAGACCCCCCCACTGACAGATGGCTCAGGCTGAGCAAGAGTGACACCCACCCTGCAGCAGTTTGTCCAGCTCCTTGGAGCCTGTGGAGATCTGGATGATCTCTGCTCTCCTCTGGTGGAACTCTGTGGCTGTGGTGAAACCCATAGGGACCAGTTTGGCTGCTTCAGCCTACCAGCAGAGCAAAATCAAATCAGACAGGCAGGTGCTGGAAAATATCTCCATTTAGAAGAGGAGAACCATGGCAGGTACTGGTGAACACTGGAGCAGACTGGGGTTGTCACTAAACCCTGACAGACAAACAAACACTTATCAGCCATGCCTGGACATACTGTAACCCAGAAGTGCCCAGATGTTTCCATCATGGAGCTCCTTTTAAAATGACCAAGTCGAAGTGATCTACCTGCTATAAGGCCCCGTTTACAGAAGAATCACCTCTGGAAACTTTAGTGTTTTTTCAACGTTTATTGGGAGTAATAAACAAAAAAAAAAGAGTGGGTTGGGTTAACGTGAAAACGCTGTAGTTTCCATGTCAGTCGGGTTGCCACATAAATGATGAACTATAGTACTGTGGCTTTAAAATTATAGTATTTTGACCTAAACTGTCATATCAGAGTCAGAGTCAGAGTTTCTTTATTGTCATTCGCACCTCATGTGGTACATGTGGTGGAGCGAAATTATGTACACAGGGTCCCAGTTACATCCAACAATAAAATGTATAAGAAAAACAGTAATAACATCTAAGATATGAACTAAGAAAAACATCAACTAAATATACACTAAGCACTCATAACAAAACATTGAACATCAGCACAAACATGAACATGAGTCTGTGTGAGCAGATGTGCACGCATGAACACATCAACATTGAAACAGATCAGCAGCAACATGAAACAGATCAGCAGCAACATGATATGGTTTATCACAGTGATTATTCTAGTTAAAGATTCATGAGTCTAACAGCCTCAGGGTAGAAGCTGTTCCTCAGTCTAGTGGTTCTACACTTAATGCTCCTTAACCTCCTTCCTGAGGGGAGTGGGGCAAAAAGTGTGTGTGCTGGGTGAGTGGGGTCCTTCATGATGCAGGTGGCCCTCTTCCTGCATCTGGAGGTGTAGATGTCTGTGATGGTGGGGAGGCTGATTCCGACAGATTACTGTGCAGCCTTCACCACTCTCTGCAAAGCTTTTCTTTCTGCAGCTGTGCAGCCTCCATGCCACACGTTGATGCTCGAGCACAGGATGCTCTCCACTGCACACCTGTAGAAGGAGGTGAGGACTGAGCTTCCCAGACCAGCTCGCCTCAGCCGTCTGAGGAAGTAGAGTCTCTGATGAGCTTTCTTGATCAGGCTGGTGGTGTTGTTGCTCCAGCTGAGGTTGTCATTCATGTGTACACCCAAGTACTTGTAGCTGGAGACCACTTCCACCGCAGATCCTCTTATGTTCAGGGGGGTGTAGGTGTTTTTGTTCCTTCTGAAGTCCACAATCATCTCCTTTGTCTTCTTCACATTGATGTGAAGGTTATTCTCTCTGCACCAGCTCTCCAGGTGTTCCACCTCCTGCCTGTAGCTGGACTCATCGTTTGTGATGCATCCCACCACCGCTGTATCATCTGCAAACTTTACAATGTGACAGCCTGGATGGGTAGCTGCACAATCATACGTGAGCAGAGTAAACAGGAGGGGGCTCAACACACATCCCTGAGGAGAGCCAGTGCTGAGGGTTATGGTGGAGGAGGAGAGGTTGTGGATCCTCACTAACTGTGGTCTGTTTGTTAAAAAGTCTAGTACCCAGTTGCAGATGGAGGGGCTTAGTCCTAGTGTGGATAGTTTGTCCATCAGGGTTTGGGGGATCATGGTGTTGAAGGCGGATGTGAAGTCCACAAAGAGCATACGGACGTAAGAGTTTTTCTGCTCCAGGTGGTTGAGCGCAGTGTGGACCACAGAGGAGATTGCATCCTCTGTTGATCGGTTCTCACGGTATGCGTACTGATGAGGGTCCTCGTTGATGTTGATGGTTGTTTTTATGTGAGTCATGACCAGTTTTTCGAAGCATTTAGCGACTATCGGGGTGAGGGCCACTGGCCGATAGTCATTCAGACCAGTCACTGTAGAGCTTTTTGGGACTGGGATGATGGTGGCAGTCTTCAGGCAGGTGGGAACTGTCTCCAGGGTAAGTGAGGTGTTAAAGATGTCTGCCAGCACCTCACAGAGCTGATCAGCACATTCCTTCAACACTTTTCCGGGGATGTTGTCTGGGCCAGTTGCTTTGTGCGGATTAATCCTCCTGAAGGTACTCCTTACTTCTGCTGAGGTCACGCTGAGATGCTCTTCATCCGGTGGTGAGGTGAGTCTGGTGCTGGGTGGTCTGTTCGGGTCTTCAAAGCGTGCATAGAACTTGTTGAGGGCATCAGGCAGAGATGGGTCTTTGGGGCATTGTTCACTCCTTCCTTTATAATCCGTTATGCACTTAATGCCCCTCCACATGCTCCGAGGGTCTTGTGAGATGAATTGACCCTCGATCCTCTGTGCATATGTGGCCTTGGCCCTCTTAATACCAGCAACCAGCTCTTTTCTTGTCCTACTCAGCTCCTCTGAGTTTCCAGACCTGAAGGCAGTGTTCCTGGCTTCCAGCAGGGTACGCACCTCTGCATTCAGCCAAGGTTTTCTGTTTGGGTAGATTTTAACATTTCTGATAGTGGAGACTGTGTCAGTACATGTACTAATGTAACCCAGTACTGAGGATGTGTATTGGTCAAGATCAAGCGAACCTCCATTTTCAGCAGCTTCTCTGAAAACCTGCCAGTCTGTTCGATCAAAACAATCTCTCAGTATGGGGCCACTGTCCTGGATCCAGCATTTAACTTTCTTTTGAACCGGTCTGGAGCGTCTCAGCGGGGGCATGTAAGCAGGAGCCAGGAAGATTGAGATGTGGTCTGACAGTCCTAGGTGGGGGCGGGGTTCGGCTTTGTATGCATTTTTTACGTTCGTGTAAACACGGTCCAGCGTGCGGTCTCCACGTGTCGGAATCGTCACATGCTGATTAAAGCTTGGGAGACACTCCTTTAGATTCACGTGGTTAAAGTCTCCGGCTACAATGTAAAGAGCCTCGGGGTGTTTGTTCTGCAGCGAGCTGATGATATCATGAACTCCTGCAGTGATTCATTAGCATTAGCGTCCGGAGGAATGTAAACAACTGTGATAAAAGTCACTGTGAACTCTCGGGGTAGATAATGTGGCCGACATTTCACTGTTATTTGCTCCAAAGCCTTCGAGCATGAGCTATTTACAACAGTACAGTTCGTGGACCAACTTTTACTCACGTAAATGCACACTCCGCCCCCCCGTGATTTCCCCGTTAGCTCGCTGCAGCGGTCCGCTCGAAAAAAAAGTCTGTCATCCAGCTGGAAGACTGAGTCCGGCGTTTCACTTGTAATCCACGTTTCCGTGAGGCAAAGCACTGCACACTTCTTCATCTCTTCTGAGGCGCCCGCTCTCAGACGAAGTAAATCCACCTTGTTGTCCAACGAGCGGACGTTCGACAGAAAGAGAGACGGCATGGGGAGTTTACCGGCTTTAGCGTTAGCTCGTAGCCTCACCATAACCCCCGCCCGGCATCCTCTCCTCTTAAGCCGGGAGCAGCGCTTCCTCTTCTGCCCACTGGAACGCCTCTGCTGCAGCTTCCAGGTAGATGACTTTAAGATCTGCATTCTGCCGAGCGTAGCTTTGAGTTTGTTGCTGATTTCTGCTATATTTCGTGGCAAATCCGCTCCTATTCTCATCAGTTCGGTTCGGCTATAGTTCACACGCATAAATCGCGCGGAGTCAGGCACAGAGTCAATATCAAAACTTCTAAAAACTGGGATGGTACCGGGAGCCTGTGAAGCTGCAACTGCTCTGAGCGCGGCCATCTTGGTATCTGACAGATATGACTGACAACAGACTGGCAGGTTTTCAGAGAAGCTGCTGAAAATGGAGGTTCGCTTGATCTTGACCAATACACATCCTCAGTTCTGGGTTACATTAGTACATGTACTGACACCGTCTCCACTATCAGAAATGTTAAAAGCTACCCAAACAGAAAACCTTGGCTGAATGCAAAGGTGCGTACCCTGCTGGAAGCCAGGAACACTGCCTTCAGGTCTGGAAACTCAGAGGAGCTGAGTAGGACAAGAAAAGAGCTGGTTGCTGGTATTAAGAGGGCCAAGGACACATACAGTGGGGAGAACAAGTATTTGATACACTGTTGATTTTTCAGGTTTTCCCACTTGCAAAGCTTGTAGATGACTGTAATTTTTTATCATAGGTACTCTTCAACTGTGAGTGATGGAATCTAAAACAAAAATCCAGAAAAATACAATGTATGATTTTTAAATAATTAATTTCCATTTTATTGTGTGAAATAAGTATTTGATCATCTATCAACCAGTAAGAATTTTGGCTCTCACAGACATGTTAGTTCTTCTTTAAGAAGCCCTCCTGTTCTCCACCCATTACCTGTATTAACTGCACCTGTTTGGACTCGTGACCTGTATAAAAGACACCTGTCCACACACTCAATCAATCAGACTCCAGCATCTCCACAATGCCCAAGACCAGAGAGCTGTGTAAGGACATCAGGGATAAAATTGTAGACCTGCACAAGGCTGGGATGGGCTACAGGACAATAGGCAAGCAGCTTGGTGAGAAGGCAACAACAGTTGGTGCAATTATTTGAAAATGGAAGAAATACAAAATAACGGAAAATCTCCCTCGGTCTGGGGCGCCATGCAAGATCTCACCTCGTGGAGCATCATTGATCTTGAGGAAGGTGAGAAATGAGCCCAGAACTACACGGCAGGACCTGGTCAATTACCTGAATAGAGCTGGGACCACAGTCTCAAAGAAAACAATCAGTAACACTCTACGCCGTCAAGGATTAAAATCTTGCAGTGCACGCAAGGTGCCCTTCCTCAAGCCAACGCATGTCAAAGCCCATCTGAAGTTTGCAAATGACCATCTGAATGATCCAGAGGAGGAATGGGAGAAGGTCATGTGGTCTGATGAGACAAAAATAGAACTTTTTGGTTTAAACTTGTAGATGAACATATATCTGTGATATATTCATAAATTAAACGGATTCTTTCATTTTTCTGGACTGAGTTCTATTGTGCATTGAATTATTAAATGTAACGTG